GCTGTCAAACATAAAAGCAAAGAATAAAAAGAGCTGTTGTCAAACATAAAAGCAAAGAATAAAAAAAAATCTGGAGAACATAAATTGCACGAGAGTACACGGAGATTATGCAAGAGTACTTGTAGGATCTAACAAGGTATTGTAATGAGACAACAAATATAAGGAGAAAAGGAGTTCCTAGATGAAGCTCAGAGCAGAGACTGTATGAAAGATGTACAATAGGAAGTCTTTTATGCTCTTAATGAAAGGCAATAAGCGAAGACCTTTACAATGCATACAAGGATGGAAATAAAGCTGTTATGGAGGCACCTAATTGAGGGGGTGCAAACGCCTGCGATAAAAGACGACTGCCTATAAAAGACGAAGACACCAAAAGAGAGTTGGCGTGGATGAAGCTATCATGTAGAAAGGTGTAGAAGCTTTAAACATACATATCAAGATGGAGGATTACGAGGAGTGTATAACAACTTTCTCTTTCTATGTGATCAGTCACAGTGATCTCTCCCAAATCTACATGGTGGTAGAGAATTTTGAAGCCATTTTAAAGTATATCAGTTGAAGAAGGATGCGACCATCTATGAAAGACGAAGACACCTTAGAGAGAAGGTGTGGGGGCCATGATATGAGCCCAAGATCAAATCGCCCTATAAAAACTAGCAAAAACACCTTAGAGAAGGTGTGAGGGTCATAATATAAGCCTAAGTACAACCCTAGAGTCGATGTAATGGTTAGATATGAGCGAATATGTGTATAACCAATGAAGTGGTTATGATGAGTATAGAGACAAATATAGAATTTACTTTCATTGCCCCCATGCCAAAGATCAGTGAGTTAGAAGACATTTATTTTGGACAATAAGTGGATGACTTGTGGAGTATTAAGACGGGACTGCTATGTAGAAGTAGAAGGCACACAAAAGTTAAACAAGCTGACTCTTGTCAAGGTGGTGAGCTCGGTAATGGCATTGTAATACTCAGAGTATGAAGGTAGATATGGATCAACATTTAAAGGGTTGCCCCCATGTTTAAAGGTGAAGAGCTATTTGGACTCTTACAACTAAGAGCGAAAGACTCATGGAGAAATAAGACGTGGTTTTTTAGGGTGGAACAGAGGGAAAACACTACTCCTGGATGAGTAAATTCTTAAAAGAGTGGTAAGCTCATGATCACATTGAAATACTCAGATAATGACTGTCGCACTTGGAAAGAGAAATTTTGGTTTAAAGAGGTGTTGTAAGCCTTGGTGTAAGGCTTGATAAATCATTTTAGACTGAGCATGGTTGATATGCTCAAAGAGGAATGTTGTGTTGAAGACACTCTCATAATGGTAAGCCTAGAAGAGTTATAGAATGCAAACTTGTGTTGAAGAAGGAAGAGGATAATTGCCCACACAAATGACAAAGGGGGTTATTGTTAGAAAATTGTCATTTTGTGGCAAAACCCCACTTCCACTTAGTGGAAGCTTAATTAGTGCCACCATTTATGCCATGTCTTATGGCTTTTATCCGTTATTTGTGCTATGATTTATGGTCCCTTGTCTGCCATTATTGCTTATAAATAGAAGTATTATTTGAGAGAAAAAATGAGAAAGAGTTATGAGTGTGTGTAAGAGAAAAGAGAGAAGGGTAATGGTAGTAGCCTTGCTACCATTGTAACAGCTGCAAGTGCAGCAAAGATATATGAGAGTTGAGTAGAGTGGATGTGATTCTCCTTCTTCATATATTTATGTTGTAACCTCTTCTCTATCTGTGTCTAATAATAAGGAACTCTCTTATGGATGTAAGCGGTTTGTCGAACCACGTTAAATATTATGTCAATGTGCTTAGCCTCTAATGAATAACTATCAAAACATCATTGGTCAGAATCCCCAACAGCTAAGCCCTTCAAATTAAATTCTAACTCTCCCAAAGGCACGTCCCAATCCAATATGATCTAGCATCCTCACACGATGGAGAATGTAATCGAGTCCATTAAACCAGAATACGCTTTTGCCACAACTTTTTTTTATTTCTATTAGGATGGTTGATCCTAATATTAAAAAACAACACGATGTGAAGGATGTCAATATATGTGGCTAATGGTTGTTGATTTTTATTTGGTGGCTGCAGTTTGGGTTTTCAATAGCAAATTCTTTGGTTTGTAGATGATGTTATGTTGCTAATAGAGCCTTGAAACAATTCAATATGATGTATGCTTGACACTCTCTCCCAAGGTCAGGTACTGTTACTTTTTCATGGATGGAAAAAAAAACTTCTCGATAAACATCTTGCATATAATATTTGTCTATGTTTATTCAGAACCAAGAGTTGGATTCACATACTAGATGTATGCTTTCTCATTCAAAAACTTAGAAAATCCCTTCAACTTTAGGTCATCATCCAACCAATAATTACCCAAGTTCACCATAAATTTCATGAGATACTCTTCGACATCCCCTTACTAGCCATTGAAAACCTTGAACTTAAGACTGACATAGCCCTCATAGCAATGATATAGAAGTTTGAGGTTAAAACTCCCTTGTAGAATTTGCTAGATTTCACTCAAAGAACTTCTCTAAGTCTTCTTTAGTAAGATGATGTTGTTGATTATTGGAAACACTTGCATGATAAGGATGTTGTTGATTATTGGAAACACTTGCACGATAGGTTGCTTGGTGTTCATAAATGACAATCAAGATGCCGAGAGTTATTACCGTGATTTATGGAAGTAATGGCTTATCAATCAAAAATACTAAAATAAAGGATGCAAGTAGATAAACGCATGAGAGAAAGAGTAAATGGTGTTAGCAAGGTGCAAGTTTAAGTGACAAACAATTGTGTAATAAACAATTTGTGTGGCAGCCAATTGAGTGACAAGAAGCTTACATGGCTAAAAGTCCAAACTAGGTAGATGGTTGATGTTATGCTATGCTCTAGGTCGATTTCTTTTTTCTTTTTCATAATAAAAAAGAGAAATCGAGGTAGTGCAAGTATTCTCGAAGAAAAAGAAAATAGAGACCTAGGTCATTGACTTGACCCTAGTTAATAAGCTCATATAATTTTAATAATATAAATAAAAAATAGTAAATAAAAAAAGTTAGAAAAACCCAAATCTATCCAAGTTAGTATGTAAAATGTATCACCTAGTCGTGGCACTAGAGTAACTCTATCAAAAGCAAATTAAAAGTTTAATCCAATCTTGAAAAACAAAACATAAAAAATAGAAAAAAAATAGATCCAGGTCAATATATATCAACTTGTTAACCCCATCACCATAGACAGCGGGAGGAGCCCATACGCGCCACCTCAAAGGCACACGCTCCTCCTATCTATTAGTGTGTGTGATGCTACGCCAACAATTTTTTTAAAATATATTTTATATTTCAAAAGACTCCATTACCATAACTCTAATTGAAAATTACAAAAAAAAAAAAGCTAAAGAAAAATGACAAAAACACTCTTTGACTCATGTAAAAGGAAAAAAAAATTATAATGGTATTTTAATAATTACATTGTTAAAAAAATTAAAAACCAAGAACACTCAATGCCCCTAGATTATTTTTTTTAAAAAGGTATATTGGTAATTTAACTTTTCAATAAAAATATAAAGAGGCCAATTTACATATGCACTTTTAAGTACTAATCAGGCCAATTTACCTTAGATAAATTAATAATGTTGATTGAAGCATGAAAATGCTATTTTTCCCTTCAAAACTCATTCCTTTCCTTACAAACATGGAAGACAAAATACATAGAAAACATATGAGTCCATTAAACCTGGAAAAATATATATTGTAGCAATTTATAGTACTTTAAGTCTTGTTCCACAATAAAAAAACTAATAAGGTTTAATTTTTTTTATTATCCCCGAACAAAATTGATAATATCAATTAAACCTATAAGAAGATTATTTTTCCCCTACAGCCCGGTCATTTCCTTATAAATTGAGTCTTTCTCTTTGTGCTTACTATGTTAATCTTTTTAAGACATAAAAAAACTAGGGTCTTGTTTGTTTTTGTATTTCAAAAGTGTTTTTTAAAAAATTTAAATTTTTTATTTTTTATTAACTTTAAATTAATATATTTTTAGTGTTTTTAAATTATTTTAATATGGTGATATCAAAAATAATTTTTTTAAAATAAAAAAATATTATTAATATATATTTTAATATAAAAAACTATTTAAAAAATAATTATAATCACACTTCCCACCATGCACATGAAAACTGGCCTTGTCATAAAAACCATGTCCATCTATACGTAGCACGAAACTTATGCCAAGCAAAGCTCATCATCAGTCTGTAGTCGTGTGATTTTGATTGTTACAAACCATAAGATAATTACTAATAAAAACTGATTTGTTCGTGACTTGCATAACTTCAGTGGAAAATTCATGCAAAAGGCCAAGGAAGATTTATTAACAGCCCAAGTCATAGGAAAAACAAGATTGAGAAAAACTACACCACATGCCTGTGGAAACTACAAACTGTTAGAACAAGAACAAAACATAGGAAAGAATGAAAGAACTATGGCTTTTAGTAGAAAGATTTGAGTGAAGAATCAATCATAGAAGAGGTTGAACTTGCAAGATTGCAAGAACAAAAGATTTGTAACATCAAACACACAAATCCATCAAGTAGTGAAAATCCAGGGCCATCTGTGAGGACTGGAATATCTATGAATTCTTGGGGAACCAGCATAAAATACTCTGTGCGATTTCTACTCTTCTCCTTCATTTTCTGTTGAATGCATATTTTATTGGTTCATGAAACAAACACGTAGTACTTGCAAGGTTGCATTAAAATGCATAGCTCAAAATTGATTCTTTCTGTGCAAACCTATCCACCATCCTTTGCCTCTATTTTGGATTGCAGTTTAGTTTAGATAGGAATTTATTAAAAAATATATTTTTTTATTTTTTATTTTTGTAAGATTATTTTAATATATTTTTAATTAAAAATATTTTAAAAACAATTATCACCATTTTTTTTTAAAAAAAAACCGCTTCCTTTGTTCAAGGACGGCCTTTAAAAGTAGATCACGGGCGTCGCCCCAACATGTTTTATTGCCACGAGTGCAAGCTCGTATTCTCTTCCCCTTGACTCATTTTGAAGAGCTAAAGGCCATTTCCATTGGGTTTGCCTTTCCATTCAAGATCCATCTCTTCAATGGCCGTTCTTTGGGCAGCTTTCTTTTTTCTAGCCCTCTCAACTTCTGCAGTCGTCAATGCAGACGACGCTCCGACAGTATACGAAGTTCTCCAAGAACACGACTTTCCAATCGGCCTTCTTCCCAGAGGAGTAACGAGCTACGAAGTGGACAAATCCACAGGTAAGTTCACAGTCCATCTTAATAGCTCTTGCTCTTTCAAAATCGATTCATATGAGCTCAAGTACAAGTCTGCGATTGAGGGCGTCATAGCCAAAGACAAGCTCTCAAAATTAAGTGGGATCCAAGTTAAGGTGCTCATTTTGTGGCTAAGTATTGCTGAAGTGATCCGTGATGTAGATGAGCTCGAATTTTCTGTGGGGATTGCTTCTGCTGATTTTCCTGTGAGAAATTTTGATGAATGCCCGGCTTGTGGATGTGGCTTTGATTGTAAAGATGTCAACTTGAGGAAAATCACTTCTTCTTCTTCTTGCTTAGATACCACTTACTGATAAATGGCATCGAGAAGCGTGTTGCACATGGATGTGCTGTCTGTAATAAGCAATGACCTGACTTCCTCAGATAGCACTCTTACCAAAAATAAATTACTGAATGCTTTATCTTTCATTTGTGTTTTTTTTTTACATTATCAATGAAGTATATTTAAAAAAGTAATTTTAAATAAAAAATAAAAATTAATTAATCTCTTTTAAAGATATTTCTAGAATACAAAAATAAACAAGCTATAAATAACTCTCAATTGTGTGATTCGATTGCATGATTTTCTATTTTCCTTTTACTTTTTGAAATTCTTTTTGTATGCAAAGTTATTTCGTGTGATTGACATTGTAGAAAATCTTTGCGGTGAAAAAAACAGGTTTTTTAAAAATATTTTTAATTATATTTTCAAAAATTATATATTTAATTAAACTTATTATAAGATGTATTTCTATATGTAAAATAAATGAAACATATGTTTCTATAAATAAAAAGTTTATTTTGTATTTTTTTAAATTAAAATTTAAAACACAATTAAATATGGGTTTTAATGTCAAAATCATAAATCTTTTAGTTATGATAGTGTTTAAAATTGTAATAGCAGTTATTTTTTAAAATATTTTTTATTAAAAATATATTATAATAATATATTTTTTATTTTTAAAAAATATTTTATTTATTAGCACATTAAAATAATTTAAAATTATAAAAATTAATTTAAAATAAAAAATAAAATTAAAAAGTATTTTTTAAGTACAAAAACAAATACATTTTAACTAAACTATTTTTCCTTTATGCTTGGGAAAAAAAGAAGAAGTTGCCGTCTCTTATAATATATGTTTTTTAAAGTATTTTTTAAATTGTTTTTCATTTAAAAAAATATTAATTGTTTTTTAGATGTTTTTCTATGATTTTGATGTACTAATATAAAAAATAAAATAAAAATCTAGAAAATATTATTTTAATAGATTTTAAATTAAAAAAATACTTTTGAAAAACTTCTTGCATAACATAAACTAGTAGGAAACATTTTGTTAAAATGCAGATCCTATCATTTATCACTATAGACTGCATTAAATATAGGTATGTATTCTACTACAACGCTATATTTTTTCTTGTACAAAAAATAATGTCTAAGCACCGTAAGTGCGTTTTAAATAAATAAGAGAAACAAATTACTCGAGTTATAGCCCTAGCTAAACATAATAAGTTGGTTTTAGTTTAATTAGATAATAAACAAAATGAAAACTATAACAAAAGTACAAAATATAAAACAAAATACCATGATAAATGGAGAAAAAATATCTAAAACAATGTAATTTGATGCAAAAATAAACAAAAATTCAGGGTAGAGTTAATTTAAGATAGCGTGATAGATATGCAAGTTGAGTGATAAAGGGTGAATCATCTTGTATTAACTTACAAAACTCATGGTTTTGGTTATCAAATTGGGTTAACCCAATAATTTATTTTAAAAAAAATCACAAAACCTTTTTTATTTTTATTTTAAAATTAATATTGAGTGATAAAATTAAAAATAAAATAATAAGAAAAAAAGGTCATCGGCCATATCAACTTTTCAAACTCATAACCTTGGTTATGAAAAAATACCATATATAGAAAAATAATGAAACTCAATCCCCAATAAGTCTAACGTTAAATGATGAATTATCACTATTATTATCATACATGAAAAACATCAACTTTTCAAACTCAAACCTAAATTATTAGATTGAAAATATCATACATGAAAAAAAAAAAGTTAGTCCTCAATAGGTCTAATGTTGAATTGCTATTACTACTAACAAAAACTAAAGTTTGTGGCATTTTCACTATGCATAAAATCATTGTTTAATATCTCACAAATCATTGGATTGGAGTAATGATTTTTTTTTATCAAAATCTTCAATTTAGTTCTTGTTATTTTAAGTCTTGAAATAGCCTAGAAAACCAAATGTAGGTTAGGGATGCAATATTTTTTTTTCTATTTGATTTAATGGTTTAGATCATTTTAGGGTTTAATGGGTTAATAGGTTAATTTTTTTTGGTGTTCTAATGATATTTGTAAGGTGTTTGGTGGTTGAAATGCAATGAAAAACAAGTTTTTTAGGTAAACAACCTTGTAGGCTTGATTTTCTAGCCATTACAGTGGTAATAACAACATGTCGTCTGCCACAACATGGATGTGTTGTCCGCCTTTTTAAAAAAGAAAAAAAATAGGTCTAAATGTGTGGGCCTAGACTTTCCCTTTCTCAACCCTTTTTTTTCAATTAATATCATTTTATGTCTTTTTGTTTTAATTTTTAAGCTCATTTTTTTAATTAATACCCCTTTTATGTTGTTTTTTGTTTTGTCTTATTTAGTCTTTTTTTTCAATATCGATTATTTTTTAATTATATTGGATGTTTTTAACTTTTTATGAGGTTAATATCATCATCATCATCATCTTATTATTATTATTATTATTATTATTATTATTATTATTAACGTGGGTGTCTAAGCCAGCTTGCGTGTACCTTAACTGATCCCATGAGGCTTGAAGTTAACGACCACATAAGTCTTCAATAGACTTGAAATTTGTGGAACTCGAATTGAAGACCTCTAGGAAGCAAACTCATGGCATGACCAGTTGAGCTAATCATCTTATTATTATTATTATTATTATTATTATTATTATTATTGGTAGTGATGTGGTGGTAAAATATTAAAACTTGATTGAAGATCCAAGGAAGAAAATTCAAAAGAAAAAGGAACCAAATTAAAAAAAATAATATATAACAAATTAGGATTAAAGGATTAAATTGACAAAAAAAATAAACAAAAAGAAAAATGAAACAAAATCAAAACCAAAAGGACTAAATTTGAAATGCTAATAAAAATAAGGACTAGAGTTCATTTTTTGGGATAAGAGAGACAAATGAAGGATAAAAAAAGACTCATTGATGATAAATCAATCGTTGTAAGCTAACATACACTACCAAAAAATGAAGAGGACATGATGAAGAATCAAATAAGTGCGAGGGCCTCCCACGTGTTCCAACAACTTTTTTAATAAAATAATATAAATTGATGTGAAATGATGTTATTACCCTTTATCAAATTGACAATTACAAAAAAAAATAGGTAAAAAACCTCACAACCTAATTACATGTGTTGATATTAACGTGGGTGTCTGAGCCAGCTTGCATGTACCTTAACTGATCCCACGAGGCTTAAAGTTAACGACCTCATAAGTCTCCAATAGCCTTGAAATTTGTGGAACTCGAACTGAAGACCTCCAGGAAGCAAACTCATGGCATGACCAATTGAGCTAATCATCTTATTATTATTATTATTATTATTATTATTATTATTATTATTATTGGTAGTGGTGGTGGTGGTAAAATATTAAAACTTGATTGAAGATCCAAGGAAGAAAATTCAAAAGAAAAGGGAACCAAATTAAAAAAAAAATATATAACAAATTAGGATTAAAGGATTAAATTGACAAAAAAAATAAACAAAAAGAAAAATGAAACAAAATCAAAACCAAAAGGACTAAATTTGAAACGCTAATAAAAATAAGGACTAGAGTTCATTTTTTGGGATAAGAGAGACAAATGAAGGATAAAAAAAGACTCATTGATGATAAATCAATCGTTGTAAGCTAACATACGCCACCAAAAAATGAAGAGGACATGATGAAGAATCAAATAAGTGCTCGCACGTGATCAAATAAGCTAACATACGCCTCCCACGTGTTCCAACAACTTTTTTTAATAAAATAATATAAATTGAATGTGAAATGATGTTATTACCCTTTATCAAATTGACAATCACAAAAAAAAAGAGGTAAAAAACCTCACAACCTAATTACATGTGTTGATTTAAGTGTATATACATGACACGACCAAAAGATTAATGTCTTCTTCCAAGTGTAGGAGTGCCGAAGTAATAAATAACACGACAAGATCGAGGTCAAATCACAGAAAGATTAATTGTATAAATTATAGATGATAATAATACAACATCAATAACAACAACAATAATATAGTAGTAATAATGGTGGTGGTGGTAGTAGTAGTAGTAATAATAATAATAATAATAATAATAATAAAGAAAAAGAAAGAGAAGAAGAAGAAGAAGAAGATAAGAACTTTGAGATGGAATATTAATATAAGGATTAAACAATGATAACAACAAATATCAAGGTTAGAGGTTTCACTAATGGTATATCAAATAAGTATAGTATAAACTCTTATTATTTAATTGGAAACTACACATAAAGAAGGTTTCAATTATATTATAAATTGTTAACATGATTCCATTAGTTATCTTATTCGATTAATGTTAATACTTGTAAATATTGTTAGGCATCCATACTTATAGCTTATGTTAACAACAAATCAAGTTCCTTTCATAGCTCAGGTGTCGATTATACCATACAGTATGGACTATTAGAGTGCCAAGTATTTGTTGTACCAAGTGTTATACAACATAAATCTAGATTAGTTATTTAACAAGAAAAGTATTAAAGAGTGAACAAGATAACAAATACAAAACATATTAGTATCAAATATTAAAGTTCATATT